TCCTTTGCCTTGAATTAATCCTACAACTTATAATAAACAAACTACACAACTTATCAAGGAATCAGTCCATTTATTTTACTTGTGTTATCATCAAGACATTAAGGGAAACAACCTGGTAAGGACCACAGAAACATGGAGACAACTTGTCATTGGATCTTCGCACCAAGGACCTTTTCCTATAAGGCTGGAGCTTCATGTATATCAGATCACCCACCTGAAAAGCACCCTCCCTCCTTCCTTTGTTCTCATACTGTTGCATGTATACTTGAGCTTGCACCAAGTGGAACTTCAAATCATCAAGAATGGCATCACGTCCCTGTAATTGCTTTTCTACTGAGGACACAACAGTGTTGCCCATTGAGAATCTAATCAGATGAGGGAGGGTCCCTTCCATAGAGAGCCTTGAACGGAGTATAGTTGGTTGCAGTGTGGAAAGAGGTATTACACCAATATTCTGCCCATGGAAACCATCGAGCCCAAGTGTGAGGTTTGTCGTTCACAAAACACCTCAAATAAGACTCCACACCCTTGTTGACAACCTCAATTTAGCCGTTTGTTTGGGAGTGGAAAGTTGTACTTTGCATGAGCTGAGTACCTTGAAGCTTGAACAACTCAGTCCAAAAAATACTAAGGAAGACCTTGTCCTGATCTGATACGATGGAGCTGTAAATTCCATGCAACCGTACTAACTCAATCATGAAACTTTGCGCCACACTTTGAGCAGTAAAAGGGTGTTTAAGTGGTATGAAATGCCCATACTTTGTTAGCCTATCCACTACCATAAGTATGGTATCCCAACTTAAAGACTTTGGAAAATCTTCGACAAAGTCCATAGAAATGTCCTCCCAAACCTTCTCTGAAATTGGTAAAGGTTGGAGAAGTCCCAATGGAGACAAGGTGGATGTCTTGTTCTGCTGATAAACGGAATAGTGATGGACATACTTTGCCACGTCCTTTCACATCCCAAACCAAAACCATTCACCAGCCAAACGATGGTAAGTCTTGAGGTCACCAGCATGCCTACCCACCAGAGAGTCATGATACTCATTGAGCCACTTCGTGGTTAGCTCACAGTGTTGAGGGATCACTACCCGTCCCTTGTATTTCAAGACACCATTCTCCAAGGTGAACCACTTTGGTGTTGCCTCCCCCTTTTTAAGCTGCGAGATCAACTGTTGCAACACAACATCTTTCTCTATAAAAGCATGCACATAGTCCCAACGAAGACCACAAGAAGTCACTAGAGAACCACACTCAATGTCAGGGCTATGTTGCCGGGAGAGTGCGTCTTCCACTTTATTGGTAGGACCCGGCTTGTTATGAATATGAAAAGTATACCCTATCAGCTTGCTAATCCATTTTTTGTAAGCTTTCCCTACTTCCCTTTGCTCCAAAAGGAACTTTAGGCTCTTCTGATTTAGTACGAACAATGAAATGACGGCCTAATAAGTAGTGTCGCCATTTTTCAACTGCAAAGACAATTGCCATTAGCTCCTTCTCGTAGATCGATGGGCTTACTATGATTCTTGATGCCCAAAACTTTGCTGAAGTACGCAATTGGGTGCTCTGCTTGCAGCAAAACATCCCCCAATCCATGCCCTGATGCATCCGTTTTGACCACGAAAGGCAGAGAAAAAATCAAGTGCTGCCAAGATGGGTGCATTCACCATAGTAGACTTGAGAGTATTAAAGGTAATAGTAGCAGCCTCTGTTGTCCACCCAAAATTCTCCTTCCGAAGTTGATTAGTTAAAGATAAGGCAATCTGAGCATAGCCTTTAATGAACTTTAGGTAATAGCCTGTAAGACCAAGGAACCCCCTGAGTTACTTCAGGGACGTAGGGGGAGGCCAATCTAACAAGGCTTGAATTTTGGAAGAATCCACCTCTACCCCAGTAGCCGAGATTACATGACCTAAATAAGCAACCCTTTCCTTTCCTACTTCACACTTTTTAAAGTTGAAAAAGAGCTGGTGGTAGGCTAGAGTCTGCAAAACTTGCTGCAAGTGTTTTTTTGTGAGTTTCAACACAGGGGTAGTACACCAAGATGTCGTCAAAGAATACCAACACAAACTTACGCAAGTACGGCTTGAAGACTTCGTTCATAAGTGATTGAAAAGTGGCAGGAGCGTTGGTCAAACCAAAAGGCATTACGAGGAATTTGTAATGATCCTCATGGGTCTTAAACGCCGTCTATGTATGTCATCGGATTTCACCCAAATCTAATGGTACCCAGATTTAAGTCCATCTTTGGGAAAATCGCTGAACCACCCAATTCATCAAGTAACTCGTCAATAATGGGGATAAGAAATTTATTAGGAACTGTTTCCTAATTCAAGGCTTGTAGTCGACATAAAAACGCCATGAACCATCCTTGTTCTTTACTAACAAAACCTGGCTGGATTAAGAACTCGTCGAAGTCTAAATTATCCCAACTTTGAGCTTATCCGAGACTAACTTGTCAATTTCATCCTTCTGGGATTGTGGGTATCTGTACGATCTGACACTAACTAGATTAGCACCACTCCATAGCACAATGGCATGCTCAATCTGCCGATGTGGGGGTAACCCATCGGGCATGTGAAAAACCTCCTGGAATTGATGTACCAGAGGCTGGAAAACTAGAGGAATCTCCGGACCCTCGTCCTATTCCTTCTCTAAGAGATTCAATTTGAGCAAGTAACCATGGCCTTCCTTCTGCAGGTTTTCGAACATTGCTTTCAGGGAAATCCCAATTCGTCCTGCGGATCACCCTTCAAGGTGATCATATTACCATCCATCTAGTTGGTTGTGATTGTGCCAAGATTCTCCAGCCATTAAAGGCCAAGAATCATATCCGAACTCCCCAATGTCAGAATAAGGAAGTCCTCGACTATTATAACACCCTGCAGATCCAACAAAACACCTTTACACACGCCCTCCTGATAACTTGCTATTTGATACGATTTTAGGGTGTTTTGAACCTAGTTTACTTGATATAAATTGCGTTTTGGTTCATTTTTACTCTATTATTATGCAATTCTTGTGTATCCTATGCTTCACGGGTTGTTGGTGTTTTTGTTGAGATTCTAGGTTCAAAAGAACGACCAAATGGAGCCCATGGATACAGAGCCGAGGTTAGAAGCAAGAAGATGGATGAAAGAAGCCAAGGAAAGGAGCATTATAGAAGAAAAGATGAAAAAAGGGGTTTAGAAGACCCTGCACGGCTGTGCCAGACCTTGCACGTCCGTGCAGGAGGTTCTAGAAAGCTTCAGCAAGCTGCCAAGGCCTGCACGGCCGTGCTTAATCTGGCACGTCCGTGCAGAAGAGGGTGCACGACCGTGCCAGACTTTGCACGTCCGTGCAGAAGTGCTCCAGAAACTCAGAACATTCTGCCAAGGCCTGCATGGACGTGCCAAATTAAGCACGTCCGTGCAGATGTAGCTGCACATCCGTGCCAATATCTGCACGTCCGTGCGGAACTGCTCGATTCTTAGCAGTACGTTCTGCCTCAATTCTGCCCCCTCTGCACGTCCGTGCCAAACTTGGCACGGCCGTGCTTAGCCTTGCACGTCCGTGCCAAATCTGGCACGTCCGTGCAGACCTGCAGTCGAACTCCTTCCTTGTTTTCTCCGTCCTTTTTATTTGGGGGTCATATAAATACCCCTTTAGAGCTCATTTGTATGGGGGAGGCAGTTTTTCAGAGCTTTTCTCTTAGTTTGTAGTCTTAGAACATTAAATTCTCAAATCATTAGTTAGTTCTCAATTATTAGCTTGGAATTATTCAAATTCAATCATTGTAGAAGACAAAATCCACCATTGTTGCTCACCTTGAAGCTTCATAGTAACCATTTCTTACTCATCTTTTCTACTTCTCTTTACTTTGTTGTTAATTATTTGCTAGTTCTTGCATGTTTTGGATTGTTAATTAGCTTAATCCTTAGTTTGAATTTGTTCATGAATTGCTTGAAATCTTTAATTGCTTTAACCCCCATGGATTGTGAGTAGTCTAAATTCTAGGGTTTGGGCAAAACCCTCAATGTAGTCACTAATTACTTGTTGCATGTGCTAATTTGGTTGTTGTGGGATGTTAATTAGTTGAGCTTAAGTGGTTTAATTGCTTAGTTCTTGTATATGGCCATTGCTAGAACTATTTATCCAAGCTTTCTCAACGAAGGATCGAGAGATGAACTTGAGTTAGCTCCCTTATGCTTGATTGACCCGAAATGCCATGAGAATAGGGATTACCGGTCAAGGGAATGTTTATGTCATCGTGATTATGCTTTAACACTTGTTTTATGCTATGTAACCACGAGAGTAGGTCGTATTCATGATTCAAGTAATCCCTCTAGCTTGAGAGAGTAGTTGGGTGCTTTAGATGACTTCCCCTAATTTATCCCATTAATTTACCTTGATTGTTGCATGCTAATTGTGATTTGTGATGAAGTTGAGTGGTATAACCCAAGCCCTAGATTCCTCTTAATATTGTTAACCTCCTCTTAGCTTAGTTGAATTGTGTTAGAAGAAGTTACTAAAAACCAACCCAATTTAGAATTCGTTTAGCTTATTTAAACGGTAGTACTCGGTGGTTGATTCAACGCCTCTCTTGGGTTCGACCCTTTTTTACCCTTACTATTGTTAGTGAGACCAAGATAGGAATTATTATCTTTGGTAGGCTCGACGACAGCCTATCAAGTTTTGGCGCCGTTGCCGGGGAGGCAAAGTCACATTGAATGTATTATTGTTGAATGAGACTAGATGTGTGTATATGTATAGTAGTTTTCTTACCTTAATTTTTGTTTATGTGTGTTTAAATTGCGATAGTCATTGCTAACGTTTTTCTTAGCTTTGTTTGACTTTGCATGACACGAAAGAGTAAGCAATCACCGCTTATTCCCGTTGATCCAGAGCTAAATAGGACTTTGAGAAACGTGAGGAGACTCTTGCAAGGCACACCCGAGTTTTCCATTGTATATTCGGATTCCGATCCGGAAGAGGTTTTTGGAACTAACGAAGAAGATAACATGGGAGAGAATCCTCCTCAACCATTGTTAAGAGACTATGACCACCCCAACGCATTCCAACTTCGGAGTGGCATACGTCTTCCCACCACAAATGCAAACAACTTTGAACTTTCACCTCAACTCATCCGTATGATTCAAAGCGATCAATTCGGAGGTAGTCCTCATGAGTGTCCTTTTGCTCATTTGGACAACTTTCTTGAGTTGTGTACAACTATCAAGCAAAACAACATTTCGGAAGAGTTCATCCGTATGCACATGTTTCAATTCTCCCTCCGTGATAAAGCAAAACATTGGTTGAGAACAGTTGAAGAGGGATCATTGAGTACATGGGACGAAGTCACTAGAGCCTTTCTTGGAAAGTATTGTCCTCCGGAAAAGACCGCCGAACTAAGAAGAAAGATCACCAATTTCAATCAAGACATTGATGAAACATTGAGTGAAGCTTGGGAGCGTTTCAAAGATTACACAAGGAAATGCCCCCACCATGGTTTTACATCATGGATCATTGTACAAAGCTTCTATGACGGTCTTACTCCTATTTCAAGGGCCAACCTTGATTCCGGGGCCGGTGGTAGCCTCAAAAAGCTATCGGTGGACGATGCATACAAGATGATTGAAGAAGTGGCCAAGCATTATGCATATGGAGGTGATAGAAGGCAACCTCAAACAAAGAAGGGCGGAATTCATGATCTTAGTGCAATAGATCTTATTGCATCAAAGTTTGATATGCTAGCTCACAAGCTAGATCAAGCCACCCTCACACCCTCAAGCTCTTCCTCGCAAGTCATGTCTTGTGAGACTTGTGGAGGAAATGATCACTTGTCCTCTTATTGCAACTCAACGAATCAAGAGCAAGCGGCGGCAATTGGGCAAAGGAATGAACAATACTCCCAATCCCACAATCAAAGTTGGAAGCCCCAACATAACACGGGATGGAAGCAATACAACCAAGGCCCCCCACAAAATAACTACAACCAAAATCAAACCCAACCTCAAAACCACTACAACCAACCTCAATCACAAAACCAACAAGCTCCATACCGCCATCCCAACCAAAGGGATCAAAACCACCAAAGATAACAATATAACCAACCCGCTCCTCCTCCTCCACCTCCTCAAAAGACTAGCCTTGAGTCCGTTCTTGAAACTTTCATGACTCAACAAATAAGGAACAATGCGGAGATGAATGCAAACATCCAACAACTCCAAGCACATAATAAGATAATGGAGGGCCAATTGGCTCAAATTGCACAACAAGTTGGAAGTTCATCCTCCAATCCTAGTGGTCACTTTCCAAGCACAACGGTAATGAATCCAAAAGAGCAAGCGAAATCAATCACCTTGATTATGGAAGGGGGGTATGAAACTCCAATTATGAGAGAAAATTTTGCCAAAAAGGGAGATGAGGGAGATAGTTGGGTAGATGAAAGTGAGTTTGAAAATGAAGTGAGTGAGGAGGCGAGAGGAAGGTCAAAAATGAGTGATGAGGGTGCCTCAAAGAGAGATGAGGGAGAAGTGAAGAGTCAAGCTCCATTGAGAGCATATGAGCCTCATATTCCATTCCCTCATAGAATGATAGAGAAGATGCTAAATGAGAAACTTTCTAAGTTCCTTGATGAAATGGAAGGACTTCAATCAAACATTCCACTTCTCCATGCTTTGTCTCAAATGCCTACATACGCAAAGTTTTTGAAAAATATTCTTTCTAACAAGAGTAGGCTTGAGGAGAGTGATTCTATCTCTCTTCCAACGGAGATAAGTGCTATTCCTCAAAATGAGCTTCCCGAGAAGTTTGGTGACCCCGGTAGTTTTGCTATACCGGTTAAGGTTGGAGATCTTGAATCAACAAATGCTTTGTGTGATCTTGGGGCTAGTGTTAGCCTTATGCCTCTCTCTATGGCAAAAAGATTAAATCTTGGGGAGATTAGCCCCACCAAAATGTCAATCCAACTAGCCGACCGCTCGGTTAAAGTCCCATTGGGAGTCTTGAAGGACATCCCAATTCAAGTGGGGAAGGTTCTTGTGCCTTGTGATTTTGTAATCATGGAGATGGATGAGGATTTCAAAATTCCTATCATATTGGGTAGGCCCTTTTTGAAAACCGCGGGTGTTAATATTGACATGAAACAAGGGCGACTTACCTTACATGTTGGGCATGAAAGAATCTCTTTCTCATTTCCGGAAACGTTGAATGACCCCATGGTTAAACAAGTTCATCGGGTTGATGTTTTGGTTAAAATTTTGAAAGAAGACATGGAGGAGTCACAAGATGAATCGACTCATGCTCCGGAGGTGAAAAAGCAAGAGAGGGCCAAGAAGAAAAAGAAAAACAAGATCAAGTTGATAGACAAGATGTTTGGTTGCATTTCTAGTGATGATAGCAATGTGATTATTTTGCCTAAGGAAAATGGCAAGTGTGTGGGAACAATGAGATGGGTCAAAAAGGTGTGCCTTGACCCTCCCTAATTTTGGATAGCGCAATTTCGTCAAGCTAGTGACGTTAAAGAAGCGCTTCCGGGAGGCAACCCGAATATTTTTGTAGTGGATTAACTTAAAAAAAAAAAAAAAAAAAGAAAAAACAAAAGAAGAAAAAAAAAAAAAAAACAGCACAAAGTGCATGTCTTCCAACAACAACCAACAGGAACAAAGGTACCAAGGAGGTTCAAGCGTCGAAGAAGACCCGATCCTTGAGTTAGTCTTCTTTCTCCTTTTTTTTTATGAGCTTTTATTGCTTATCATTGAGGACAATGTTTATGATAACTTGGGGGGAGTCATTTGCATGCCTTCTTGCCATGTTGGTTTGTTTGGTTGCGTTTGTTTTGGTTGTTTCATTTCCCTAATATCCAAGACCCTTAATCCAATTTAGCTTCCTTGAAATCCAAATCTCTTGTCATGTGAATATTAGTGTTCCCTCTCTAGTTAGTAATGTGAATATTTTCGCTTTCTCTTCAAAAAAAAAATGATGAAAAAATTGAAAAATGAAAAAAAAATAAAAAAATTTCCCAAGGTTGAGACTCAAATGACAATGCTTATATGTTTTTCTTGCTTGACTCTTGAGCGATGAGTACTAGTTTTCTTAGAAGGGTGTATGCAAGAGATGGGGTCATTTAGAGGTCTATTAATCCTGGTTGCATTAGTGTATATGAAATGAAAGTCGATGAATGCTCAATTGCACATCTAGCATAGGATATTGTTAAATTTGCCCAAAGTAGGATATGTTTGAGTCAAAGTGCGGTCCCTTGTGCCCTTAATGTGCCTCACTTCCTCCCCGAAATGAAACTCTATTAGGGAATTGGTTATACTTGTATTATGTGTAATAAGTGGCATAATAAGCCACACGTTTCGAATAAAGAAAGAGCCGCTCACAGTTAAAAGAGGCGAGGGCAATAATGTAAAAAAAATGAGAAAAAAAAATAAAAAAAATAAATAGAAAAGAAGGGAGAACAAAAAAAACTCCCCCAAAAATTCTCAAAATTTTGATTTTCTTTTCTTTAGAGGTCAACTTGTGGATGCCTCCCACACATTGTCGAATTTGTTGCTTATTGTTTCTTGTGAAATTCCCGAGTTAGAGTGTAATTAAGGGGCCTTGGGTGTGCATTTTGGGAGGTGGACTAGCATTTTGAGATTTTATAACCGAAAGAGGGCTCATTACAACTTTGGAATATCTAGGTGTGCTCTAATGAACTAGTAAAAGGCCAAAGGAAGTATCCTAGTGCAACCTTCTTTAGTTTTCCTCTCTACCCCCAACTCATGTGTACATTTGTATGATCGGTAATTCTTGAAAGTCGTTCACTTGTCTTGCTTGTGTCTCATATCCCGATGAGTTGACTTGGGCGAAAAATTGAACTTGTGCGATTTTTGGCGATGTGCTGTGGACTGCGTGAGTTGTGGGGCAAACTCATTGGAAACCCTCACGAGATAAAAACTCGTCCTCTAAGGCGACTTAGAGGTTTAAATTGCTTCTCACTTGTGCTAAAAGTGATGATGGTTGTCACCATGCGGATTTGTTTATGTATGCTTCCCCCTTGTTGCCTCTCCTTGGATTGATGATTAGCAATTTGTTTTCCTCCTTTGGTTTGACATTTTTGTTTTGCTCGAGGACGAGCAAAAGCTTAGCTTGGGGGGATTTGATAACTTGCTATTTGATACGATTTTAGGGTGTTTTGAACCTAGTTTACTTGATATAAATTGCGTTTTGGTTCATTTTTACTCTATTATTATGCAATTCTTGTGTATCCTATGCTTCACGGGTTGTTGGTGTTTTTGTTGAGATTCTAGGTTCAAAAGAACGACCAAATGGAGCCCATGGATACAGAGCCGAGGTTAGAAGCAAGAAGATGGATGAAAGAAGCCAAGGAAAGGAGCATTATAGAAGAAAAGATGAAAAAAGGGGTTTAGAAGACCCTGCACGGCTGTGCCAGACCTTGCACGTCCGTGCAGGAGGTTCCAGAAAGCTTCAGCAAGCTGCCAAGGCCTGCACGGCCGTGCTTAATCTGGCACGTCCGTGCAGAAGAGGGTGCACGACCGTGCCAGACTTTGCACGTCCGTGCAGAAGTGCTCCAGAAACTCAGAACATTCTGCCAAGGCCTGCATGGACGTGCCAAATTAAGCACGTCCGTGCAGATGTAGCTGCACGTCCGTGCCAATATCTGCACGTCCGTGCGGAACTGCTCGATTCTTAGCAGTACGTTCTGCCTCAATTCTGCCCCCTCTGCACGTCCGTGCCAAACTTGGCACGGCCGTGCTTAGCCTTGCACGTCCGTGCCAAATCTGGCACGTCCGTGCAGACCTGCAGTCGAACTCCTTCCTTGTTTTCTCCGTCCTTTTTATTTGGGGGTCATATAAATACCCCTTTAGAGCTCATTTGTACGGGGGAGGCAGTTTTTCAGAGCTTTTCTCTTAGTTTGTAGTCTTAGAACATTAAATTCTCAAATCACTAGTTAGTTCTCAATTATTAGCTTGGAATTATTCAAATTCAATCATTGTAGAAGACAAAATCCACCATTGTTGCTCACCTTGAAGCTTCATAGTAACCATTTCTTACTCATCTTTTCTACTTCTCTTTACTTTGTTGTTAATTATTTGCTAGTTCTTGCATGTTTTGGATTGTTAATTAGCTTAATCCTTAGTTTGAATTTGTTCATGAATTGCTTGAAATCTTTAATTGCTTTAACCCCCATGGATTGTGAGTAGTCTAAATTCTAGGGTTTGGGCAAAACCCTCAATGTAGTCACTAATTACTTGTTGCATGTGCTAATTTGGTTGTTGTGGGATGTTAATTAGTTGAGCTTAAGTGGTTTAATTGCTTAGTTCTTGTATATGGCCATTGCTAGAACTATTTATCCAAGCTTTCTCAACGAAGGATCGAGAGATGAACTTGAGTTAGCTCCCTTATGCTTGATTGACCCGAAATGCCATGAGAATAGGGATTACCGGTCAAGGGAATGTTTATGTCATCGTGATTATGCTTTAACACTTGTTTTATGCTATGTAACCACGAGAGTAGGTCGTATTCATGATTCAAGTAATCCCTCTAGCTTGAGAGAGTAGTTGGGTGCTTTAGATGACTTCCCCTAATTTATCCCATTAATTTACCTTGATTGTTGCATGCTAATTGTGATTTGTGATGAAGTTGAGTGGTATAACCCAAGCCCTAGATTCCTCTTAATATTGTTAACCTCCTCTTAGCTTAGTTGAATTGTGTTAGAAGAAGTTACTAAAAACCAACCCAATTTAGAATTCGTTTAGCTTATTTAAACGGTAGTACTCGGTGGTTGATTCAACGCCTCTCTTGGGTTCGACCCTTTCTTACCCTTACTATTGTTAGTGAGACCAAGATAGGAATTATTATCTTTGGTAGGCTCGACGACGGCCTATCACCTCCCTTGCACCACCTTTCTGGTACCAAGTGTTACCCCAAAACTTCGGGATTTCGTGGGATTAAGACCCAGTTTCTTGGCAGCAACATTGGATATAAAGTTATGGGTTGCACTCGGATCAATCATCACCCCACAGAGCTCCTATTCACTACTCCGGCCAAGCGCATCGTTTAGGGATAGTCAGTCTTGTTTTGGGTGTTT